CACTCGGGAGGGGTTCAAGTGGTCGATCGATTGAAACTACTTATCGATCGGCTAAATCTTTAATCGATGGACTCTAATAGGTCGATCGACTTCTGTTGTTCGTCGATCATCTTTAGACTATGCTCCTAGGAAACTAAGATGTTGGACGTTCATGGCTCACGGGTTGTACTTTAATCATTGGTGGATTCTTTTTTACCATACTTTCATTGACCGGTTAGATTTTCTGAAGTTTCGAGCCATTAAACCTGGCTTCAACCATATGAAGCCACTTGGCACTCTGGAGTTATTTCGGAAAAGGAAAATGGAATTGCTTATTCATATTAAACCTATTTAAAAATTTTCAAATCATGGAAATTGGCATGTAAGCATGTGCGTGTGATCGACGTTCCCCATCATCAGAGAAATAATTTTTGAAGTCCCAAAATATATATGGTTTTGTTTCATAATTATACATTTCAAAAATGAAAAAAAAATTACATCATGATATATTGATGATCAAGGTAGCAAAACAAATCCTCTAAAATTATGAAACAAATACTCAAAAAAATTGCCCGCCGCAGCATAGATGGAGGAAAAGATGAGAATAGTGAGAAAACGACCGAGATATAAATCCACAAGAAACGCTCCGAGAATAGTTAGAAAGAATGCAGAGCTCATCCAATTGGGATATGGGTACTCGCCTGTCGAAAAGCTTCATGCATTTCTTTCACCAAGAATGTGAACTTAAATTTTTATCATCTGGCATGAATTTCAAGATACGACACAAATCTCAAGACGATATTTTGAACAAGAAACATTCAACTCATGATAAAAAACCATCTTGAGCTCTGATTTCAATAAATTTATAGTCAAATTGACCGGCTTGATGAGATGAACCTAATAATATAAAAATTTGTTCAATCCGAGTTAAATCAAGCTCAGATCAGGTCATTAAACTACCCTTGAAAGATTTATGGACACATTGGATGGTCAAACAAATGCCGACACTAGCAAATTCATAGTTGAATCGAGCGTCTCGACAAGACGAATCCAATGAGTCTAATATCACTCAATTCCGAAATTATTAAGGTATCCAAATGTCCATTAAACGCAATTTGATTGAAGAAAACTCTCTGGATAGTCCGATCAAAATGATTCATATATCTGCATTAGTTACACCCACAACAATACAAATAGACCCCCCACCCCTCACATGAGGGGGAGCTAAAGTCTAGAGAAAGAGTCTGAGGTCTTGAGGAGAAGTTGCAGCTCAGCATCACCGTCGACCGTCTTCAACCAGCACTGTCTGTCATCTACCACCACTAACCACCATCGGTCACCATCAATCAGATGCCGTTAGTCGACGTTGTAATCTGAAAAATATAGTTATCATTATTCGTCTGTGGGATAAGAGATTTCTGTAATCATCAATTAATAGTGAATTTCTGCAACTGGGTCAGGCCTCGTGGATTTTCCCTTAAGGGTTTTCCACGTAAAAATTTCTAGAGTCATCATCACTTGTTTCTCTTTCATCTGTGTGTGTGCTGAACTTTCGTACATCGCTAAGACGATAGTCCGTTACTCTAACGCCGCGAATTTTCTAAAGGCATCAGAAGACAATCCTTTCTGCAACCTCATGTACTATTTTGCCAAAAATCGCTTAATTAACTTACATAGTTTATGCCATAATTAAGCTCTTAAGAGCTATTAAATTGAAGCAACAAACCGATGATGCATGGAGCGGCTTTCTATCTATTAAGAGAATATTACGTGTGGTATCTACATGTGCGAATTGGTGGTATTGGGGTGGTATATGTACCACCGCAATACCACCAATGCACACTTTCTCTGCATCTAACTCATCGAAACGTATTACTTTTCCTCGTCTGTCAATGGTGGTCTTATTGGCAATCATCCCACGGAAGTCAATGACAGCGTTGCTTACTAGGGCCTTCGTCGGCGGATCGGTGGTATGGTCGCCAGCTGATCGACGGTTACCTCAGCATCCATAATTTTATTTCCTTTCTTTTTTCTTTGGTATGTTAGTTGTTGCCATTGAAGGATTAAGTCTAAGTTATTTGATGAATGACTTGCTTCTCATGGGAAAGAATTTGGCATTAGGTCCAGGCAATTTTATGGGAGCAGCTAATCTTTTGACAATGCACGGAGTAAGTTAAACAATGTGATTAATTGGGCTGTTAAATGACTGTTAGAACAGCCTAACAACGGCGTTTATTTTTTTTTAATGAAAAAAATATATAAAGGGCAATTTTTATTTTTCTTATCATTCAATATAATTAAATGGTTAGATAATCTAATGAAATAATTAATTACTATAACTACTTTTCAGATGTATAATTATGATCGAAAGGAAGGATTATAGCAGTGCCTATTTCAAAATATTTCAGGTCAAAGTGTGGGCCCCATCATAGAAGAGAAAGTTTTGGTGAATTTTGAGTTGAGATTTTTTTAGGTTTTAATGAAATAAATTAAGTATTTTTTTAGCTCTATTTAGTTTGGTTAAAATTTGATTTTTATTTCTAAAATTTTGAGTTAATTATTAGGATTACTTTTTTATTATCAAAATTATCATTCAAATTATCGTTGTCAGCTTAACAGACCCCCACACAGTTAGATTTAAGCATGAGGGTTTCATTTGAAATATTTTGACATCTAAACGTACTCACAAAGTCTAATTTGAAAAATAATTATTTGTTGAAAAGAAATTTACATAGACTATTTTTCATACATGAAAATCCAAAACATAAAATTATACTTAAAAAAATGTGTGATGACCACCAAAATAGTTTGCATGCTCCTTAAATATTATTATGAACATCATGCAACTTAAACAATATAATTCTGATGATAATTTCATGGTGTTTGTAACACTATTCATGCATGAAAACTTAAATTGAACAATTTCACTAAAAAATTGTATCATATGATCATCAAACTTTCTTGCATGTCATTTATAAATGATAATAAATATCATGAGACTTTTTAGATGAATATTTAACCCTATGATGAACTGTGGAGAAAATAATAATTTCTATTTGTTTGTTGATTAATGCTGATTTTTTAGGTCAATTTTAGGGTTTTGACTGAAGTTCATTGTATTGGTTCTATTTTGATTTGTTTGTTTTTTTATTTATTTTGTTTAGTTAAATTTTAAACTATGGATTAGCTCAAGTTTCAGCTTAACTGAGCTTCAATCAGATATGAGTCAAGTAAAAGACTTGACCGAAAAGTGAGGTGAACAGCCTTTTACAGGTAATTTGGCTTAAAAAGGGCATACTAGATAGAAGCAAATAGTAGTGGAAAAAGATATCTCCTAGGAAGTCTCTTGAGCCTGGTAAAGGACTTAGTTTGGCTTAAGTGGGCTTAATTTAATTTTGAAGGAAAATTATGGATTGAGTCAACATGTTTGACCCACTTGGGCAAACTTAAATAGAATAGGATTGCTAAGAGAGTTATTTAAAGGCTTTGCTAATGTTGAGAAAAAAAAAATAAGTTCATAGTTGATTAGAATAGGTTGATTTAATTTAGAAATATTCAAACCTCATTTTATCATGATCTATTAGGTTTTGGTTAAGAAAAATGCAGACTTAATTGGTTTTAAAAAGGACAAAAACCCCCTAAAGCCAATGTTAAATCTCTTGGATTTGGTCTAATTTAATTTTTATGTTCAACGTGAGGTTGGCCTAAGAAGAATCTAAAGTCTCCTAAGTTGGGTTCTAAGGCCTTGAGAATTTTTAAGATAAGCTAAGAAAATTTTCTTTAAGTTTAACTGTGAGATTTGGCTTAATTGAATTTTATGTTTTATAGGTTTGACTTAATGTTGATCTAATGAGCATATTGCCCATCAAAAGTGAGTGGCGAGTATCCTAAAGTCATGAGACAACTCTCGGGTAAGCCTTGGGTTAAATGGTATAAGAATCTTCAATATAATTAAATGTTCTACTTAACGATTATTTGAGTTTCTAAACTCTAAATTCAAATTCAGCCCACTATAAAAATATGTTTAGCGTTGTGTAGCTTTCAAATATGTTTCAAGATATTTAAAGTTTCTTAAGTTTAATCTTCGGCTAACTTAGCCTATGAGATCTAAAGATCTTAAGAGTGATCTTCGGCTACCTCAAGAGTGATCTCATTCGATTTGGTTATGATCTTTCTTGAAAACCTTATATGTAGATGTAGAATTGAATAAATTTATAATTATTCTTTTAATATTAGAGGCCAATTGATTTTTTTCAAAACTAAAGGGATCTTATAGTATAGGCCATGTCTGTATTACATAAAGTCAATTAGTATTATGACCATAAACAACTTTAACCTTTGATTTGTAAATACAAATTTTTCTAGTTAACTAGTGTGGAATTCATAAGGAATTCATGTAGAAAAATATACAAGGGGGTCATATTATGTATCAAAAAGCTTTTAGCTCTTATTTATGCTTTTAAAAATTGTTTCAATTATGTCGTTATGAACGAGTCGTCGCAGCTCAACAAATTTTGACTAGAGGTAGTGCTCGAATATAAAATAGATGAACTTAATTTATCTAATTAGACATGCCAACTAAGAGTTTCATTTTATCTTGAAAATATTTTACTTGATTTTTTGGTTGATATTATTTACTGGTCCTTTAATATATTAAAAGCAAAAAGAAACATTTTTTCTTAAAGAGGGGCTGAACAAAAGATAAATAAACTAATTCTAGTTTTCTTCTGAAATGCATGTGTGCACATTGTTATGATCACCAAAAATCCAAGCTGAAATTTGGATCTAATATATCAATAATCGATAAACTTTCACTAACCCAAAAATTCAAACGAACAAATAATGATAAATTAGTGTCATATTATGAACTCAATTCTCTAATTTTTATTCTAAATATGAGCTTATTATACTCTCCCTCATCATAAATTCAAAAACATAACTAATAATAAATCCAACACTAAACAGCTTTTAGCTCAAGATAACAACATACATAACAAGAGTCATCAATATTACTATTAAATTTAAATGGAAACCGGAGCTGAAGCTGGTTCTGGTGCTGCAAAAATTCCTGCAAGGAGACGTAAGAGAGTAATAATTAATAATGCGCAAGAGTATCAGGAGCAAATATTACGTGTGGAATTCGCATATACGATCAAATTGGTGATATTTGATGGTATTATGATGATATTTCACCACATTACCACCACAATACCATAAAACACCATCAAACTCATACTTTTCTTGCCCGCACATAATATTTTTTCCTTTCAACAACTAAGTGTGTTCTCAACTTTATTAGAGCAATGAAGTGTGAATAATTAGACTAACCACATTGAAGAAGATTTGCAGGTGGAGGCCGTTCTTTGGCAGGATTGGGATCGGAATCAAATACTCTAACGTAGAGTTCTTGGCCCAAGTACCAATTCCTCAGGATCTGCGATCGCAGGTTCCACATACCGGGGTTGTCCAGATAAACGTAAACTGCACTCCATCCCTGAGGATAGACCTATACAACGATTCAAAGAAAAAAAAAAACAATTTAGGAAAAATCTTTTTAATACAAATTATGGCAACATATACTTTTATGTTAAAATTAAGGGAACTTTCCTTAATGCATGCCTTCTTAAACACTGAAATATTAAATTAATGAGATATAACTCATTTGTTTTCCTATGTTTAATACATTCATTATAGAAACAAAAAAAGAGGTTCTTTGCTTCATTGATATCTGTGATATAAAGTAATAATATTACCGTGTGTTATATATGTTGGCTCAAGGGGGGTGTTTGGCTGCAGGTACATTTAGACTTGCTAGAATTTAGTAAATTTGGATTTATTAAACAACTTCTTTGTTAGATTTCTTAAATTTGGATTCATGAATCAAAAGTAAAATTCGGATCTTAAATCTAAAATATCATATATCCTTTGTCCTGTTTTAATAAATCCGACGGATAAATCCTGTTAATAGGAAGTACCAAATACCCCCTTAATCGGATAAATAGCATTCTAAAAGAAATATATAGTTGCATGTATTTTCATCATGATAAACAAACGCAATACATTTGACGTATTAAATACCGTTATCCACAAAAATAAGCCCCTAAAACTCTAAAAAATTATGTTTTTAATTATAAATATTTGCTCAAACTCTAATGAGATCCATCACAATCAGCGTGCAGAGAATCATAAACCTGAACAGTCGACCGAACCACTGGATCGAATAAGTTATAAGTTTCTCTCGAAGTAGGGCTCCACTTTCCATTGCCAAACCTATGCCAACAGAACCAACCACACATCAAGTTACATTACTCCACAAAATATAAAAAAACTTATTGTTTTAAAAGAACCTACGTACCCCACAACATAGAAGCCAAACCCATCCAAATGCCAGGAGTTCATCTCACCAAGCTCATTCACAAACACAATCTCAGCCCAACCCTTGTGAATCCCTGTTGCCACAAACGTGCCCTGAACCACTCTGTCATTTGTAGAGTTCGCCGGAAATGCGTCCAGCTGATATACTCCGGCGCCGTTTGCGAGGTAATCGGCAAGCTTCAGCGGCGTCGATGGGGTCAGGTAGGCCACATTGTTTACGGTAAAATGGCTGTGTATGCCGAACATTGCGAAAGAGCTATGGAGAATGAATGTTTGGGAGAGAGGCACGTTCGATACGGTGAAGGTGCCTTGTGGGTTTGGTCTGGCCGCTCCTGCTGTCATGTTCCATCTTTTGGTTTCGTTTTGGGTGCATAAGTAGACGATGTGGTTGTTAATGTTATGAAGTGAAGATCATATGATAGATGATATGAAGCATAATTCTTTGCTTTTTCATGACAATAATTTGCATGTAAATAATTGTTTTCATTGCATTCTAAATATAAACCAAAGGTTAGATTTTCAACATTAAATTTAAAAAATCTAAATGAGAAGCAAATAAATTAGAATGCAATGTGAGGAATAAGAAAATAATAATATGTTTATGAGAACATATATAAACACTGAAAAACCTAAGATTAGGGATGGGCATAGGTTAAATGTATTGAAATGAGATGGAGATAACAATGATGAATGATTTAAAGATAAATTATAGATATGCATAGCGTTATGTATAAAGCAGTTTTTAGTATTTTGTTTTGGGTGAGAGTTCTATAATTGTGTTGTTTGCCCATGCTCTAATCTTTTGGATAATAATTAAGATATAGTTTTTTTTTTAAAATAATTAATAAATGAGCTGATTATTGCATCTTTGACAAGGAAAGCTTAAAAAATGTAGGCTATTGCAGGGTAGGATTTTAGATAATTCATTCATGATGTGTATGAAATATGAAGTAAAAAAGCTATAGTTAATTTTACAACAGTTTATAACCTTCTAATGTAAAATGTGTATAAGTAGAAAAGAGAAATATACATAAATATCCTTATGAAATGGAGGTTATTGGATGAAAAAAAAAATTAAAAATTTCTTATAAAATAAAATTAATACAAAAATTTATTTGAAAAAAATATGAAAATTATATTGTTAAACTATATATTTAACCAAAGTTAAGTGGCTACCTGATCAACACAAGTATTATCTCTATCAGTATGATCCTATATAAAGAATGAAACAATAATATCTTTGTAAATCAATCTCATCCATCTGATTCTTTATCATTGTCTCTCTTATATTATATACTTCCTAACGATACCTTATTTGTCTTCAAATAAAAGGAATGAGTCTTCACTTTCATCAATACTATTCTTTGTTTCTCTCTAGTTTTATTCCCTTTTCAATTCTATCTTTTTTATATTAGAGAATTTCCTACTCTAAAATCTTTATATTATACTTACTAACTAAACTTCATCATCCTCATTAAATGAGGACTTTCCATATTCATACCCAACAGTGCTATATTTTTTTCCTCAAAGTTTTTTATGCTAAACATAAACATTCTAATTACAACTCAGCTTACTAGTGACAACTATAGTATATGAAACTCTTAAATCACCAAAATTTTTAATGTTAAAGTATTCATGGGTATCTTTAATGGCTCAATTATTCATCCATCGAAAACTATTACAAATGAGGCTGGAATTTCTCTTCATAATCCATTTTATACTTCTTGCCTTAACCAAAATTAAATCTTATAAAAAAACTATACTTTACAATTGCACTCTTCATCCTATATTATGCCTTAAACACTAATAACTACTATAAATGTTGGCAAGCCATTGAGAAATGTATACAAGCTAATAATTATTCTCATTTTATGTAGCTAAGAAATGAACTTCATAATATCAAGTATGAGGACCTTGTTGTAATGACTATATAAAATTAATGCACTCATTAATTATAATACATCAATAGATTCATGCATGAACTTTAATTAGGAAAATATCATTTTATACATCTTTAATGATCCACATTTTCTCATCAAGCCTTCAATGTGGTTATCAAAATCTTGTTCACACCAATAAAATTTAATGAATTATACTTGTTTCCTTCTATCGATGAGATCAACATCACCAATAAGATAGCTAAAAAACCTCAAAAAATGATAGGCCAGTGATCTATCCACTTATAACAATAGAGCCAACTTCTCTTTCACCCATGGATGTTGATTTACTCCTTCAATCAAAATGAATTACATGAGCTTCTCAATTCATCCACTGAACACTACAAGAACCACACCTACTACTTTAACCTATCAAATATAAAGAAGGAATAATAAATAAACCTTTCATTAATGTTCATGTTTACCTTTCTTACTCCCTATTTAACACTAAAAATTTGTCCATAATATTTCTAGCATCTTCTAGCTTAATTGTCTCATAGTGGATATGCTAAAATTTTGTGATGCCAAACATTTGACTTCCAAGCACGATAAAATAAAAAATTAACCTAGATCAAATTCTTGTTAGCAATTCTCAAGGTAATTACAAGCACTAGCTATAGAATGCTACATATTCTTTGATGGAAGTTTATCCCCTCCAAACTTTTTTATGTTCCTCATATAATTCATAATCTTCTTTTTGTACAAAAATTGATTAATAAAATAAACCTCACTATTAATTTTCATTCAAAGGTAATACATACAACAATGATTCAAAAACGATTCAAATCCTTCTTCATGTTAACAAGCATAATGGTTAATATTTTTATTCTCATTATTATTTCTCTATAATAATATAATGTTTTAATCTCCATGTTTTCATCAATAAATGTCTAACATTGATATTTTGGAAACCTAAATGTTTCTACTATTTCTTCTATCTCCAATCTTCAATCAAACTAATTTATTTTACCAAGTTCTATCATATATAATATTTCTAAATCTTTCAAAAGTTATCATCAACCATTTACATTATTATGTAATTAGTTAAATAAATCACTAGAACTTATCCATTATGATGTATGATGGTTTTCTTGGTATCTTATACTCATGTTTATAAATATTATGATTCCTTATGCTTTTAAAGGATAATTCTAATGGAAATAAAATGTAAAATCCTGTATAAATTTATGCTATTAAATGTTAAAATCACCATTCAAATTCAATCAGATTTTAAAGTCCTTTGCCCTAAAAGAGGTGCTAACCTTTCTCATGCACATTTTTCTTCAAATAATATATCTTAACATTCAACAATTTGTCTGATTAATTATTAATCCTTAATTCTCACCCTCAATTGATAGCCTTCCATACCAACGACTCTATTTTCAGCTTTGACTTCTCCGCAAGTACATATTCAACTCTCTCATAGCCAGCTTATAATAGATATATCAGTAATAAGTAGCTTGAAGTTAAAAAAAAATTACTGCACATGATGCCTTGCAGCACCTTGAATATCCTAAACTATCCTTGGATACCGCTAGACATACAGTACCAACTTTTAGAATGATGGGAAGTTGATCACTATGAGGTATGTCTTATTGGACAAGAATAAAACCAAAAACTTAGCATTGATTATAATGAAACTTTAAATATTATGCTTAAACTGACTATCATTTGCATTTCCATGCTTGATAGTTATATTAAGTTGTTCTACAAAATGCTCTTATTGCATTAAATGTTCTATAAAATGTTTGGTCGATATATTAAGTGTAATATTATGCTTAAACCGACAACAACTATGTACAAATCTTCAATGGGCACTTATATCCTGATATTGTTGATCACTTGCAAAAAACCAAAAAAAAACTATGACTCTACTTAAATATCATCCAGAATTATTATAGCCCGAGTTATTTGTTTTTTCACAAATGATATTTCAAGAATATAACATGATAATAAGATACCTGATGGATTTTGCTTGATTGACAGAGAAATCTTGATCTGTGGGAAGTGGACCAACGGGCAATGGACCTCTCGGTTGTGTTGTTGAGCCCTTATATCGAACTATGGCAACTCCAGTGAGTTCACTAGTATCTATGCTAGTTTGTGTGGGAGCGGCAACAATGAAGTAATCGGACACTGCTTGGTTCGCAGTAAGAAGTATAGAGTACGATTGGCCAACATGAACATCTAGCGAATCAAGTCCCATCTGTTTGGTATAAGAGCCTTCTGTTTCAACCAATGTCATTTGATGACTTTGAATTCTAAAGTTGAAACTAAATTTTGTCCCAACATTAGATATCCTCAACCTATAGGTCTTTCCTGCAATGAACAAAAATTAAAAATTATATACCAAATATAAGAAAAAATAATAATAAATCCAACGCTTCATAAATCAAATTTTCTCACGTTCCGTCAGCTACTATGTCTATGACTGAATTTGATACATCCGAATTTATCGAATTTGATAAATCATATTTAACATAAATTTACATTTATAAAATCATGGGCAAAGTTTTTATAATTATATATATATAAATATATATATATTATGCAATTTAATGTTTTAAGCCTTGTAGTTTTTCATATTAGCACTTGCAGTATTTCAGAATTTATTTGTAAAAATCAGAATCTTCAACATGTATGAATTTTCTTTATGTATTTAATTCTTTCTTTCACCCTTTTATTTTTAAAGTTCTTCATGTAAATCTTTAAAAAAAAAATTTAAGTTTGGGGGGGAGAAAAATTATTTTAAAAAAAGTATCAGAAATCAATTAATTTTTTTTTTTTTCTATGCACAAAATGTTACATAAAAACTCTTAGCTCAATATTTCCATTGGATTAACGGCATGGTAAAGAAAAAAACAATAATAATGAAATTATATATGAAGGCCAACTTTGTGAAAAAATATTACATGCGGATTAGTGGTATTATGATGGTATTGTAGTGCATACAATCACAATACCATCAAATCTACATCTATCACACATACTCTATCCGCACATAATATTTCTTTCAACTTTTCCTCAGTAATTAATAAGCCTATTTTCAGTTCATTTAGTGTAGAAAAATAAAGAAAATTTTACAAACACATCACACAATTCTTATATATTTACAAATATATTGCCTATATATATATATATTGTTGTATTTATACTACTTTGTGGTCAAAACATTATATTTCATTTTTAAAAAGAAAGTAATAATAAAAAATTTGATGTCATACTAACTATTCGTGTGGTATGTAAATGAGGAAGTTAAATATGCAAAAATATAAAAAAAAAACATGTGTTATTTATGTAAAATCACAACAAATAGAAGTGTTAATTAAATACCTTGAAAGATGAGGAGCTCCAATCTCCAATGAGAAGGTCGAATTCGCCGGAAGGATGGTTAAAAGGCACGCTGATTACATCTCTGTTGTTAACTCTGATGGGACCGAAGCCGCCAGCGGCCTTGTGAAATTTTATGGAGGGGAAGTAGAAGAAACTGCCTATCTGATCTTTCACCTGGAAAGCATAAGTCCAATTGTTCCCCGGTATGATTGGGCAATTGGTTCCCGAGACTCCATCTTGCCATGAATTTAGCCTATGTTGTATTCCATTCCTACATCCAAACTTGTTATTAGTTTAAGCCAAGCCATTATGTGTCTAAGGTTCGTTAGAGCCAAGTTTAAGCCAAGCCATTATGTGTCTAAGGTTCATTAGAGCCAATGTTGAAGGACTACTACCCTACCAAATCAAATCAAATATGTGTTCAAACTTAAGGCTCTTCCTAGCTAAAATAACTAGAAGATATTGAAATTTCTTTTTAATTCATTATTGTGACATATGTCCCCTTTTTTGCATGAAACAAAAAAATAATTAGTTATAACTTATAACTAATTCATTAAAACAATAAAAAAAATATATTTTTCTCTCAACCTTTTTATAAAAGTGAAAATTAATTTCAATTTAGTTCCTTTATCCTCTTCATTTTCTATATTGAAATCTCTTGAAACCAACTTGGCTTAAGAAAAAAGCTACATTTTTACAATACCATGTCATAAGAAAAGGCTCGTCCAAGTTGTTGAAGATGTTGACGTAGATATTATCATTGGTGGTTGCGTTGATGAGAGGCCCGGGAAACATCCCATTAATGGTTATAACCTGAGAAATTAATAAGCTTATTAATTCCAAAAACTATAGTAAATGTAAGAAAAATTTAATAAGATTTTTTTTTTTTTTTGAACTTAAAATTTACTTTATGTTTTTATCATTATGATATTTGAGTATATTTTTTCAGGGTTTATATTTTTTATCATTATGTTAATAGTTCGCATAAAATAAAATGATATTTTCTGTCAAGCTGTATTATAATTTTATAGTAGTAATAATAATAATTCCTTCTTATATATTAAACAAATGCATTAAATATTTTAAGGCCGGCGTATAGATCAAGTCCAACTAGGCAACTCAGTCTTTGATCAAGTCCAGCTTTATCATACAATTCAATGTATTCCTTTAGTAAATGAATTAAAAATTGTACTCAAATTTAAATATTATTTTTAAAACAAATTAATAATGGAGCTATAATTAATAAAAATAAAAATAAAAGCATAAATAATACTTTTCTCGAGCATCATCCAGTTCCTTATACCTCCATTAAAAATTCATACAAAATCAGCCTTATATTTTTAGGAAAATGACTAAGGAAATTGACTTCAAACTGTGAGCTCATTAAAAAAAAAAAAAAAATTTTAAAAAATGGATAATTTTAATATATCTGGTTGAAAAAATTAGAAATTAATATTAACATTAAAATTTCAAATAGTTTTCAATTTCTCATAAAATAATAATTTTACTTTTTTAATCACATATAAACTACAATAAGTTAAAAGCTAAAATTAACTTGTCTAAAACATCATTTTATTAACAAATAACCAAAATTTACCTCCACCCAAGGAAAAATTATTGCATCTCCGATCACAGCCGCACGTCAACATTTAAGAAAAAAAAAAAGAACTAATAAAAGTGAGACCCACTGTCATATAAGTTTTGTTTAGATGAGTTGATGTGCGGCTATGATCATAGAGCGTAACTAAGGCACCCCCCAATTCTTTTGTATTTACATATCGCATCAATTTTTTTAACAAATAACCAAAATTTACCTCCACCTAAGGAAAAATTATTGCCTACGGAGAGAGCGTACGCAACTCTGCGTACACTCTCCGATCACAACCGCACATCAACATTTAAAAAAAAAAGAATTAATAAAAGTGGGACCTACTGTCATACAGGCTTTATTTAGATGAGTTGATGTGCGGCTGTGATCGGAGAGCGTACCTAAGGCACCCCCCAATTCTTTTGTATTTACATAT